GGTTAAAGTGGGCAGGTATTTATCCCACATCAACTTGCTGTAATTTGTCAGCTTGTCTATACTCTCAGTGTTCTTCCTATATTTTATACACACACACATACACGCACACACGCACGCACGTGTGCACATGTATGTATGTACATCTATGTAATCAGAAAGCTTGGCTACTTTTCAATTATGCAACTACCAACTGTAGAATTTCAAAGACTCTATTTTGTGAGAAACAAACAAATATGATAACATAAGGTAGGCGCTTCTACAGCCAGTTACACTGATATAACCAGTATTTTGAGGGAAAATGGTATACTGAAACCAACAGACATAGTACAAACAAAGCAGCTGCACATTATGTCTTAGTGCAGGGGCGAGCAAAATACAGCCCGCCAGCCGCATCCAGGTTACCAGGCAATTTCATCCAGCCCGCAGGTGCCCACCAACTAATAGTACCCTGCTCAGCCCACGCTCCTTGTTCCCACTTTTGTGGGCAGAATGGCCCGGTCAAGCCAGCATGTGGCTTCCAGGCAGAGATGCTGCTGCCGCTGCCAGGGGACCTGCTTGGCCTCCCCAGCATCCCGCTTGCTCTAGGCACCAGGCAGGGAAACAGCAGGGACAGGGCAGTAGGAGGGGGAGCTGCAGCTGGGCCAGAGCACAGAGCATGGGGCTAGGGCTAGCAGCAGTGCCCATGCTCAGGGGCCCGGTAGAAGTACAGAGCTTGTGGGGGAGGGGGGAATGGGGGGCAGGGTATCAGTGTGAGAGAGGCTGGGAAACTCCCCCACGGCACATAGCCCCCACCACCAGCAGCCACAGCAGGTGGCAGGTACCCAGCATGCTTGTGGCCCATGCAGGTGCTGCCACCTGGCAGTGCATGGCTTCGTCCAGTGCTGCAAGTGGAAGCAAAGAGGGAGCCAGGCTGGCCCACTTCTATCGCGCAGGGCTCTACGTGGCACATATGCAGCTCCCGGCAATCCAGTGCCACAGGAGGAAGCCCTGAGCAATGGAGCTGGCTGCCTTCACTGCTCCCTGCTGTGCAGGTCCCGAGACTCATCCAGAAGTGATGGGGTGCCCTACCCACCGCTTCCTGGCACAGGCCTGCATGGGCCACAAGTACCCTGAGCACCCACCACCTGCTGCAGCTGCTGCCGCTGCCAGTGGCAGGGGCTCTGGGGCCCAAGGCGGGGGGGG